GCGGTATAAAACACTCACACGGTACAGATACTCCGTAACAATCCTCTAAACAACTGAACCAGCATCAATACAGTCCACTCAAACAATTCCTGTACGGAACAGTAACTGTTGTATCAAATAATATGACAACGATAAGGAGTTTGGCGGGAGTGTTCAACATCAGTGATGTATATAGTTAGTAATCGATCATTTTTCATCAAAACCGTTTTTTCTCTTAGTGATGATATTAATTTAAGGTATGCTTTGATTTGTTTACATTTTTGAGAATTRCATGGCTTGGATAAGAATTTGAAAGTACACTAACTAATTTTATATAACCTGTGATAGCGGCACARCAAAAAGTAAAAAAACTAAGATTCTTGTACTTACTGCTTTCCATGGAAAATGTACACAGTGGTTGATCGAATGGGAATATGTTCATTGATCCTTCGCAACATAACATCAGATGACGCCTATAAAATAAAATAATAATTTTAATAATTTGAAATCGTTTTCGAGAAATTATTTGACAAATATAATATCAAGCGCATCAAAGGTATCAAAGGTATCAAACGCATGGCTGTTAGCTGATTTTGACTGTTGGGGAGGGTTAAGTTAGTTCAGCAAGGATTTTCACTATAAGAACTCGWGTTCCCATCAGATAACTAGTGACACCGACCGATGCTGGCACACAGGACACGTTTTTGACTGAAGCCAAACACTGTGCCACACCAAGCCACATATCCATCTATTATATAAGTGTATGTKAATATAAATAATTTTATTTGTATATCTACAGATGAAGAATATTCATTATTTTGAATGTTTTAACATAGTTTTACCAACTATTAAAAATGTAATCACGGACAATTTGATATACATAAATAAATTTAATTATAATACCTATATTTTAATTTTTAATCGTATAGTCTGAAACAGAAAACTTTTATTAAATGTTTGATTTATAATTATTGAATATTCTACGAATAAATTTACCTATTTTATAATAAACTTCACAATGTTGATGAAGTGGAAAGGTGTAGCCGGTTCAGATACCTACAACACATTTTACAATGTACCTATTGCTACTTCACTTCTCTTAGCTTAACATCAACAACTTACTCATAAAAAATCTTTTTTTTTACATTTTCGAGCCTAAAAAGATCTGTTATCTGTTGAAATCTTGTCTATATTTTACATAAAGGATGGTATTTTGATGCAATGTATTTTTTGGGTSATACTGATTATCATTTATATATTTTTGTTAGTTTAGAACTCTACCTGGTTGTGTACTCAACCCGGCCATCGCCGTACACGTTCAGAGTGAACCGTATAGGCCGCTGGGTAGGCTTAAAGTCACCGTGCATGTGAAAATTCGTGTCTGGCAGCCATATGTCACCGTGGTGGTGGATGCCGTTTAGAACGCTGAAAGCCGTGTGATTTGGATACTGCAGCCGTGAGTCGTACCATTCTTGTTGAAGCAGAAATTCGATGTCGTATTTCTGCAAAAAATTACGTGCAACACAATACAGCATACTATAGCAGACTTAGGTTAGATTAACTACATYTCTTTAGGCCATAAATACGATGGTCATAATTTGAATATAGAACCGATAACAAAATAACTATGTACGTATTTTCACCGAAATGTTACACAGTACGCGGCGCTTGACTTATTAAAAAAATTGCATTCCTAACCATTATAATCCCCCCTCCCCCCACACAAACAGACTGTCCTCAGAAGTTTCATCACAAAACAGTGAACATTTTAAACATTTAAATATATAAAGTGATTCTTCAACAGAATAGATAGAATACAGGTGAATTTGTTCATTGGTACATTACCAGCGATATAAATTAACTAATGATTTTTGATGTTTATGACTTTTATATATCATATAAAATGTCTTTATTTTACTAATTTCACAAATGTTTGTGTTATTATATTATTATATTTATTTGACATTTTAACACACTTTCGAAATATTAAGGAATTAAACTGGCATTTTTGAAAAGGTTTACACAGTTTTGGAAAAAGGAGTCGTCAGTCTGCTATAGATAAAACAGAATACTGCCAGATGCAGACGTTCCAGATAAAAAAAAAAGCATAGTGATATGCAAAAATTTATGAAAATTTTACCCAAAACTCTGTTCTCCCGCACGCCCATCTCTGTAGTAAGTAAAACACTTCACTGTTCACCCTATCTATACACGCTCTTGTGCGAGTCGTTAATCGCGCATACCTGCTGTAAGTATAATAATAATATAATATACGCCGTAAGTACACTAGTCGGTCGTGTTTTATAAATAACGGAAAATATCATACGTATAAATTATATATGTACGTCATGTATAATGCGACGATAGTGCCGACGATACCTTTATGTAAATTATTCCTCGGGGTGCTAAAATGCACTAAATAACACGAGCACTTGGCGAATGGCCCGATTTTGACCCAATGATGACCGTACACGCGTTGTTCATCAGTGCTCAAAGCACGCATGTTATAGTAGTTTCCATTGTCCGATGAGCAGTGCAAAACACCATATTCAGCAAAAGTATAATACTATATAAACCATTTAAACATTTTTGTCGAACGAAATTAAAATTAAGTGTGACACACTTACTGCACGGAAATAACATATACGTGCGTCGTATTGGGATTTTATTCAAAATCCATAATATGTATATATACGCATATAAACCAATGTTTTCTCCCCATCATAAAATATACTATAATTAACGACTTTATTAAAAACTTTTTAACAGCTGATATATTATGATATTTTTTATGTTTTGTAGATTAAACTTTAGATCGTGTTATGTTTATTTATCGCTTATGCATTTTTTTTTTCAAAACTGTCCAATTATACTATTATTATAGTTATGATTTATAAAATATTTTCTCGTAAACACAATTTAGTTAAGACTATAATATATAGTTTGAATGAATTGTGAATTACTATTTACAGTAGGTAATATGTTAAAATATTTTTACAACTATAAGTCGAGAAGTCTGTTGATCACCTTTTATCCRCKGACAGATAATTTGATATTATCATAAAAGGTTCGAGCTGCATTGGTTACACCAGTGATACTCATTCGCTATTGTTTTTTATTTTTCTCCGCAATAGAAAGATTAGTGGAAAAAAAAGCGGGTAAGTC